CAGCTGCCACGAGGTCTTAAAAGCCAAAAAGAGCTGCTCTGGCTGTGGCTTTCCCTCTAATTTTTCATCCTCTTCTTATTCTCATACAATCTGAACTCTTTCCTTTCTATATGAAGGTTTCAGAAACATAGCTGTCAGGAGTGGTTAGACCCTCAAGAGAAATTGCACAGGAACTGAGAAGCACAGGAAGAGCTAAGAACAAAACAAGGACAGCGTTCAAAGTTTAGCTCAGCTTAGATACCAAAGTTAATGAATTCCCAAATAGAACACGTGGGGGAAACAAACGAAATCCAGTCTCTAATGACGTCCAGGTATCTGGAAATGCTTACCCTGTGTTCCCATAAAAGCAAACAGGGAACTGAATGTGAAACACAAAGTAAGGCTAGTAAATTCCTGAAAGGAGACAGTTCTTTCTCCTTGGAGACAAACCCAATTATGCATTGCCTCTCCCACCAGCAACATCCTCTGGCTCAAACATTTTTAAAAGAAGGTTGCTGAACATCTGCTGAGCAATTAATGGAATGCAGCAGCATGCTGGAATGGTCCCTGGGAAGGTATTAGCAATCCTGCTTATGAGACACGAAATGTTGCAAACAGTGGTCTTTTTTTGTATTTAATTTTCTCCTCCCTGCAGCAGGAATGCGAGGAAGGGAAAAGCAGTTGAGGTGGAAGTTCTGCATCAAATTCTCTCCTCACTGTTTCTTCTTTCTCCCAGCTATCTCCCTCCTTCTCTTCTTAGCCATCCTGATATGAATGAAACATGTTAATTTCAACTTAATAAAAGAAATGGCCACTGTCTCCATCCACTGATCCCCTACTCAACGTGCCAAGTTCTCTGTGTGTGAAAGGAGAATTCCCTCCACTGTCTTGGCAACATAGTCTACTACCCTGTTCTTACAGTTTAAAAAAAAAGATCAGGTAGTTAGAGCTAACTTAGGAACAACCTCAAATGGGAAACTGATCTCTCGTCACAATTACTGAAGTGCCAGCCTTAACACAAGCTTTGCCTTTTGTATATGAAAGACTGGCTGAATTTGCAGGAAAGTGGATGGACCTGGAGATCGTCATTCTAAGGGAAGTAAGCCAGAAAGAGAAAGAAAAATACTGTATGAGATCACTTATTTGTGGCCTCAAAAATAGGACACAAATGAACTTATTTACAAAGCAGAGACAGCCTCACAGACATAGAAAACAAACTTACGGTTACCAGGGAAGAAAGGGTGTGAGGAGGGATCAATTGGGAGCTGGGGATTTGCAGATACTAACTACTATATATAAAATAAAACAGATAAACAACAAGGTCCTACTGTATAGCTCAGGGAGCTATATTCGTAACCTACAATATAACCTGTAATAACCTGTAACGAAAAAAGAATATGAAAAGGAATATGTGTGTGTGTGTATGTATATATATATACATATATATAATATATATATATAATATATATATAATATATATATATATAATATATATATATATAACTGAATATGATGTACACCAGAAATTAACACAACATTGTGAATCAACTATACTTCAATAGAAAAAGAAAGAAAAACTGGCTGAGAGTGATTTTGCACCTGTGGATACTGCCAGTTTTAATACCATTATGACAAGCACAGCTAAAATCAATACAGTCAGATTTCCAAGACTCAGTTATCATGTAAGCCCATGGCATTCTCTTCCTTTCCTCTTCAAATTGGAGTTGATTATTTACATATAAGTCTACGTTTACTCCAGTCACTGAGCCAGTCATCACAGGAAGGTCAATAACGCCAGGTGATCAGATTTCGAATTACACCTCCAAAAGGCCCTACTATCAGACTGAACAGAGAAGAACCCGAAACAGCCCCCAAAATTGGAAGCCAAAGAATTTTCTCACTTTCTCCAAATTGGCTCAGTCTGAGTTTGGGCTTTTGGCTCAAAATGCAGTTTTATTTTGTTCCCCTGGGAACTTCGCATAGTACATATCAATGTTTCGGGGATCTCTCCTTCAAATCTCAGGGTGCTTACATGAGCTCCCAGTAACATACCTCGCTTTTCCAGTCCCTCCTCCCATGGTTCTGAGTACTGCTCCCAGCTATGGCATGAAGTGTGAATACTAATTGGATAAATCTTCCAGATCTTCCTGACTTTGCATTATTTCTTGCCATCTGGATCTTATTCCGATGGCATTAATTTTTCCCAGGTTCTCAGGAATGGCCTTTCATTCCCACGTGGAACTACAGATCTGCAGACACCTTGGCTACAGATGGGTTTCCCTGGCCAAGCCACTGGCCAAACCAGTTTCAGCTAATTAGCCATGTTTTCGTTCCTTGTATTTCAGCTTGATCCTGGCTCTAAACCAGATGTCATCACAGGAAGGCATCCTTAAGTATCATTTAAAAGAAGGTTCAAATTCAGTAAGCTAATCTGAACCATCTTTGGAGTATGCTATGACAACCAGTTAAATAAAAACCAGGCACATAAAATAACTGATAGAAGAGAGATATAGGGGGGAAAAAAGGTAAGAAATGCCAGTTGCGCCAGAATTAGAGAGTGGAGTTAGTTCTCTGCCCGGCTTGACCTCTGATGCTCCCCTTCTTAACAGAGGCCCGTGGGGAGTGTTTTCTCATAAATCAGGCTACTCTACAGCAAAGTATGCTGCCTGAAGATAGCATTCATTTAGCAGCTGAGGATGCTGCAAAGGGTTGGACTAGTTGGTCCACATCCCTTCAAACCCAGAGTTCAGTGTGGAGTATCAGGCTAGGTTGCTTTTAACCTCTGAACTCAAAGGGAGTAAGCAGCTCTAGTCATCCCAGGAGAGGATGACAAGGTTGAGGCTAAACAGGCTGGACTGTCTAAAGAGATGAAATCAATCAGCACACCTATTTCAACCAATGTCAAGTAGTTAACTTTCTACTCACTTGATAAAGTGTGTCAGCAGTTTGGCCATCAGGCTGACTACACAGATGTTTCTGGACTTTGTTTTCCAATTCAGTCAGCTGTGTGTCACTGCCATGTGTCACCACCATTCACCAAAGACCAAAGGCCAGCCCTCTCGGTGGGAACCAGCCAGACTTGATAACCGCATGCTCTAAAATAAGCTGGCAGCCTTTGCTGAGACCTTAGGCTTCATCGTTTTCTATTCCCTTACACTTTCTTATTTTCTTCAGGATATTTTCATCATCAGTGTGATTCAGAAAGTGGCATTTGTTAACGTGCTCCATGCCCGGCTTTCCCCTGTGATGGAAGCTTCCTGAAGGCAGAGACTCTAGCCCATGCTGAGAACACTCCTTGGCTCAGAGTAGATAGGCACTCAATAAATGCCTGTTGGTTGGATGAATTAGGATGACAAGCTGCAGAATAGCAAATCGGCCCTACTCAATCCTTCTTACACTTAAGAGTCATCTTCCTCGAGCAACACTCTGAATCTATCACACCTCTGCTCCGCAGAGCCCCACCAAAGGAGTGCAGACTTCTCAGCATGGCACATTCCCACACTCCATCTCCACATCCCATGCTTACGACACTGACTTGTAAATATTTGTTTCTTTAAGGCAGAATTTGTTTTGGTTTCTTTTTTTTAGGGAAAAAAAACCATTTTATGGAATCCTAAGAAAGAAAAAAGACAGACTCCAAGCAGAAAAGAGGCCAGTGGCCAACCTGCTAGGCCTTCCTCTAGATCTAGGCACACCTCCAGGAACCTCCAGGAAACCTGAGAATGGAGTTGGAAACACCTGCTCTTTGTCCCCACTTATTCAGCATCCCCAAAGCCCAGAAGGCTTTCATGTTCCTTCCTTGGTGCTTTGGTGCTTGGCATGTAATCTCTTGAGTTCAATCTTACCCGTTTTTCCAGGTTCTTCCCAAAAATCACCTCCTCCATGAAGCTTTCCTGTATCATTCTGACTGGGCACAATTTATCTTTGCTTTAAATTTTCCTCTAAAATTTTGTTAAAAATAAAAAAAGAAAAATAACACCTTCCTATGCAGCAGGCGTGACTCTAAGTGCATTTACCTGAATTAACTTAGTCCTTACACAACTCCATTGTCCTAGGTGCTCCTGGAGTCTCTAAGGCACAGACAAATTAGGCCTCCTCTCAAGGTCTATGGAGTAAGTAAGTGATGGAGCCAAGATTGAAACCAATGGTCTAGCTGCAAAATTCCAAAGTCCATGGGCTTAAAAATGTTCTATTGCCTCTCTGCATTTCATTCCTTGAGATATCCCACCACTGCCCATTTCCCCACCCCCAGCACTACCACCACTGCCACCACCAGACTTTGGAACACCACCACCAGATTACATGTTTTTTTGAGAACAAATACCATTTTCTATTGGCCTTTATACTCTATGCAGTATCAGCACAGTACTCTGCAAAAATAAGTACTCAGTAAATAGCGTTAGTTTATTAATATAACACAATGATATTTCTATGTGCTTAGGATTTCTGGAATTATTACTTGAGATGTCTATGTAGACTCAGGAAGAAGATTTTCCCCATTACCTCGTATAGGTGAAGAGACAGAAGTTCGATGACATTAATTAATCTGTAAGATTCCGACCAACCTGAGGCTGGACAGGCCCCGGCTGCGGCCCTGGGCAGCTCCTAAGGCCCAGCTCTTCCCAGTGTGCTACTCTAGCCCAAAACCAAAAGAAAGAAAATTCTTTGTAACATGAATGATTTAAAAATAAGGTTTTGCAGAAAGACCAGAAAAAAGTTACGTTGATACGGTCAACTTTATTTTCAAGATTCCTGTAAGAGGAAGCATGCTATTACTTGAGGGGTGTTTATCTAAATGACGCACTCACGGTTTTTGCTAGGGACTAAGTAGGAAAAATCACCTTATTCTGTTGCCTTGGGGGCCCACCATTAAGGCAAAAGTGCCAAGCGAGGGAACCTCCAAAGGTTGATGCCCTTTTTCTGATTAGCAGTGGCGCCATCTAGTCCTGATGCGGAAACAACAAACTGAATCCCCCCTTTGCTTGAGCCGCCAGCCAGAACCCAGGGACGGGAAAACTGACCTGCTGTCAGGTGGGCTGCATGGA